ACTAATCATACAAAATTTAAATGCCACTTTTTTAAATTTTCTAAATGTAACTTTTAAAGTATAAATATATCAATATAAATCTATACTGTTATTACAAACAAAATTCTCCTTTCTTACTTTCCCGCTCAAACAATAAAAAAGGGATAAAAAATTTACCAATTAATTAGTAAAAACGTTTGTAGTAAAATAGAAAAAAAAAATCCTTAATTCACAAAAAATAGAAAAGAAAATAGAATTCACTGGTTAATTAATACTAACAATAATCAGTAAAAAAAATTGTAGTAAAATAGGAAAATACAAAAAAAGATCATTAAATCACTAAAAAATGAAAATATAAATGGAATTTAGTGATTATTACTAATAATAATAATTAGTAAAATAGGAAAATAAAAAAGGAGTCTTAATTCGATGAAAATGAAAATAAAAAACGGAAGATTGTGAAAAAAAAAGAAGGTCATAATAAGGATAACAGTAAAAAAAAAAAAAAAATCCTACCAAAAATTAGAAAAATAAAAAATATTCTTAATTCATGAAAAATAGAAAAGGAAATAGAATTCACTGATTAATTAATACTAATAATAATCAGTAAAAAAGTTAGCATTAAAATAGAAAAATAAAAAAGATCCTTAATTCATTAAAATCTATACTATTGTTAAAAACAATATTCTATTTACTTGATTTCCCACCCAAACAATAGTAAATTGTAAAGGTAAATTAAAAAAAAAAAACAGAAATATTTCACAATAATTCTGTACATCATCATCAATTAAAAATGGAACAAAAATGAGGCAAATTGAAAAATAAATGAATATTAATAATTGACTGAAAATTAAAAATGAAAAAAGAAACAGAAATTAGGTTAATTGAAAAAGGAAATGAATATTAATAATTGACTGGAAATAAAAGATGCTTCAAAATTGACTAAAATGGAAAAGAAAATTGTCAGATTATTGCATTTTAATTTTTCACAATAATATTACATAGTAGAATAAATCAAATAATAATTATATCATAAATCTTTCACAATTTTAAACAATGGAACAGAAATTAAAAATGGAACGGAAATATTTCAATAATAATATTCTACATCATCAAGTAAAAGTAAATAAAAAATGAAAATGAAATATTTCAATAATAATATTATACACCATCAATAGTAAAGACATATTTTAAACAATAGTAAAGGTAAACTAAAAATGGAACGGAAATATTTCAATAAAAATATTCTACATCATCAATTAAAAATGGTTCGGATAGGTAAAAAATCACTACATCTGATATTCTAATTGACTGATTAACTAAAAATAAAAAAGAATAATTGCCTGAAAATGAATCTGATATTACTAATTGACTGAAATTATAAAAGGAAATGAATATTAATAATAGACTGCAAATAAAAAAATGATCCATAATTGAAATGTAAAAATAAATTGACAGATCATTGCAGTTTAATTAAAAAATGGAACGGAAATTAAAAATTGGACAGAAATATTTCAATAATAATATTCTACATCATCAATAGTAAATGCATATTTTAAACAATAGTAAAGGTAAATTAAAAATAGAATGAAAATATTTCAATAACAATATTCTACATCATCAATTAAAAATGGAACGGAAATTAGGTAAAAATATCAATGCATCTAATATTCTAATTGACTAATTGACTAAAAATAAAAAAGAATAATTGGCTGAAAATGAATCTGATATTACTAATTGACTGAAAATATAAAAGGATCACTAATTGACTGAAATTCTACCATTATATATTTTCACCCGAGTCACCCATCTGTGAAGATGGACAAAAGGTGTTAGCTCTAGACAAAGATGGACAAGATTGTGTTGTTACTACCAATGTTGTCTACAAAGAGGTTTCAATAGTGTGTAAATACAATCTGTGATATTATGTTTTTTTAAATAGAAAAATTGCTATATATCTAGACAAAAAAAATATTTTCCATACAAATAAATTAGGATATCAATTCATTTTTATAACTGAGTTGCTAAAGAACGAGCACATTTGACTAATTTATAAAAATACTGAACAATGATAAATAAAATCTCCAAAGTTACAGCACCGCATGCATACATCTACATATTAGCTATTAATTTGAGCAATTAATAACATAAAAACACATAAGCGATCCAAACCATACCTCCAATTGCACTATATAATATTTGATGTTCTAATTTAAATAATTATATATCGATCCAAATATTCTTAATTATATTACAACAAATCCATTCCGTGCATTGCACGGGCGCAAATACTAGTAGAAATAAGAAAAAAAGAAAGAGTTAGTTTGACCAATAAATAGTAAGTAGGAAAGATAAAATGGGACATATGGAGTAATTATTAATGAAATGTATAGCATGTCGATGTATAAACTATTAGGACTCTATTAGTTGTGACACCCCGAAATCCAAATTCAATTAAGGGATTAATTAAGTAATTAATCCTATTTCAATTTGTAATTTAATTCCTTAAAATTCCTGAAATTTAATAGTTGGGGACTAGTAATTGACTAGTCAACCCCAAAGTCAGAGTTGTACATTGAGCTTTGTAAGGAGTTCCCTTGTTCCTTACACTTCCTTATGTTAGTACGGGTATTCTTGACCTTTCACTTGGTGTTAGTATTGTAACCTAACCTAGTAGACCACCTTCATTCTTTCCTTACACTTTCTAAAAATCTAGCTCCACCTTCTCTCTAAAAAGGTGGGTAGCTTTTCTTCCAAGCCAAGTTGGAGCTTTGCCAAAACTTCAAGAGTTGCTTCCAAGATTCAACCTTTCATATATTTGGGCACCTAGGAGGGTAAGATCTAAGTTCATCTTGTGTTTTTGGTTTTATCTTAGGTGTCTTTTCTTAAAAATAGGATCTTTATGATCTTTTGGTATGTTCTTGAAGTGGGTTTGGAAGGTGAGCCTTGAGAGGAGCTTGTTGAGGTGTAAAGTGAAGTCTTTAGTCCACAAGAGGTAACCCATGCTCTACAAAATCTATTTTGCTTACCTATATGTGATTTCTTGGATTCTACATGCGTTTTGCTATGAAATGTGAGTGTTTATGCATTGTCTTGAGAAAATGCATATCTAGAGCTTGTGTTTAGGGTTCATTTGTGCCATTGCTTGGCATTTCCTTTGATTCAAGTCATTTTGTTGTATTTGGTGAGATTTGGCATGTTTTGGACTTGAATTTGAGTTTGGAGATGAAAATCCCCGAAGGGATTTATTGTGGTACAAGGGTGTACCCGCGGGCAGAACGGCGGGTAGGGGTCCAACCCGCTGCCCACCCGCGGGGTACACATGTTGGGCAGCCTGTACCCACGGGTGGAACCGCGGGTAGAGGCCTACCCGTGGGCCCACCCGCGGGTACATGTTTTGATGATGACGAGGATTTGTTCCCCGTGATTCTTTTGACTCGATATTTGGTCTTTGGACTTCCTGATGTTCTTTTGTGGAACTATTTGAGTGTCTTCTTGATGTTTCGTATGTCTAGAACTATATGGTAGGATTCCATGTAGGTTTTGGTGTCGTGAATCGTGCTAAGTGTTCAACATTGTGTTTCGTTGAACCGTGATGAGTCTTGTGTGTTCTTCGGAACTATCTTTGGTTTACCCGTTTGATAAGCATGCCTAGTTTGGTGTTTAAATGCTAGCATGTGTTTGTGGTTTGTACCTTCCTATTGGTTGATGATAACTTGTGTTATTCATCGTTGTTGTTGTTGGACTGTGATTCATTCCTTGATTGAGTATGGTTTCATATCTTCGTTGTGATCCGTTGATTGATTCCTGTTGTGGTGTGATGTGTGAGTAGCTTTACCTGGATTGCACGATTAGTGGTATGGGACACTAGTCACCAAGGTATTGCAGCGGTCCTCGTGGTGGCCGTGACGCGATTATGGAGTTTGTGGCCTTTGTGTAAGGTTCACGTGTTTATTTCTGGGATAACATGTGTTATCCAGGGCATGTGTTGCCATGTGTGATCGGTACCCTCGTGTACTATGAAATTGGTGGTTTTGTTGGAAGGACTGTTGGAGGGGGAACGACGGTTCCCGGGGGAATAAGGTTGGACATGGTGTACAGGGGTCCTGGAGGTAAAGGTTGGAACTAGATATAAAGTTGGGGGTAGCCATAAGGTTGGAACCAGGCATAAGGAAGGCATATCAACTCGTGATGGGTGATGTCACGAGGGCTTGTGTAGCCGTTGTTGTGAGTTCTCTTCTTGTGACGTGTGTAGTCACAAGGGCATGTGTTGCCTAGGCATGTGTTGCCATCGGTCTTGTCTTTATCCTTTGTGTTGTGGTAATCCTTTGTGGTCTTGGGATGTGTTCCTGTGTTCTTGTTGAGAGTGTTGAGTCTTGTGTTGACTATTACTCTTGGTTTGTACTTATATATATATATATATATATATATATATATATATATATATATATATATATATATATATATATATATGTATGTATGTATGTATGTATTCCGTTTCGAAAATGGCTTTACAACTTATATCTTACCTATGTATGTTATTTCACATGTATTGGTGGGTTACCAGCATTATTCGTTGACCGGGCATTGTCCCATGTTTTATTGTGTTCTTTCAGGTGATGTCTAGACGAGTGCGTGGTCTAGTGCTTGCTAGTATAGCTTCTCCCTTTTCGTTTGTGGCCTGTGTGCCAGTTTAGATGTAGAACTTTGAGACTATGGGTTTAGATGTAAACATTGCAGATGTTGCCGGTGCGTTCATCCTTTTGGTGAACGTGGCATAACACCCCGTGTTTCGGATTATGTTTATCTATCTATCTTTCAGACTTCCTCTGTGTTTGTTGTTTAGTTCAGTTATCTGCATGTTCAAGGCTTTTAAATAGCATGTTTTTAGGGGGTGTTACATTAGTAGTATTAGACTAGATCTCTATTATATTAGTAGTATTAGACTAGATCTCTATTTCGTGTCTTTATATACTTTGTATCCGCTGCTCTTGATCAATACACAGAAAATATATTCTCATATGGTATCAGCTAAGTTTTCTCTCATGGAAAACGTCGGTGTTAATGGCGGATCTGTTCTTGGTTCTTCGGAACAGACCGTTACCGAGATTCCTACGATGCCTGCGAGTGGTAGCCTGTCATCGGCTCATCACTTCGTTTCTTTAAAGTTGACCTTCCGAAATTATCTATTCTGGCGAACTCAGATGCTTCCGTTTCTTGAAGGCCAAGGGCTTCTAGGGTTTGTTGATTGTACAACACCCTTTCCAACAGCATCGCCGACCCTAACGTCGACCGCGGACAGCGCCCCGGCGGCGGTTTCCGATCTCCCCGCCCGGCAGCTCTCTTGGCGTCGGCAGGACAAGGCAATCCTCTCTATGCTCATCTCCTCTTTGTCCGAGGAGACTCTTCGTTTCGCCGTCGGCAAGGGCACCTCTCGGCAGCTTTGGCATGTAATCGAACAAACCCTAGGTTCGTCTACCCGCTCTCGTGCACTCCGACTACTCCGTGAACTTCAGGGGCTCCGTCAAGGTGATTCCTCAATATCTGATTACCTTGGTCATGCCCAGATGTTGATTGATGAATTGGCCCTCGCCGGTCGTCATGTTGAGTTGGATGATCAGAACTTATATGTGTTTCATGGTTTACGCCCGGAGTTCCGACCGTTGGTGGCAACCCTAGCCCGTGGTGCGCCTGTTCCCCACCCGGAGGTTGTGGATTTTCTTTTTTCGCAGGAGTGGATCTGTTCGGACGATGGTGCGGCTCTCGGTGCACCGGCAGCCTTGGCCGTAAGCCGTGGTGGTCACGGCGGTCGCGGTGGCAGTCCGCAAACCCGAGGAGGTTGCGGCCGCGGCAGGGGGTGTGGCGGTCGTTGCCGGGGGCGGTCCAACTCGGGCCCTCGGTATCAGATTTGCAACAAGCAAGGGCATATAGCTACGGCGTGTTGGCGTCGTTTCACTCCTGATCCGGACCCTCAGGCGAATGTTGTCGTTTCTGGTGTTGATGGTTCTATGGACGACTCTCATCAGTGGTTCCCCGACACTGGTGCCACAAATCATGCTACCCCTGATCCCACATTATTGACGTCCTCTACTGCATATGATGGTCCGGAGACACTTCGGGTCGGCAATGGTACAGGTTTGCCTATTGTTACTGTTGGTTCTACTTCGTTAACCACTAATTCTAAGTCGTTTCGTATGTCTGATGTTTTGCATGTTCCTGGTTTATCTTCTTCGTTATTATCTGTTCAGCGTTTTGCTAAAAAGAATAATGTCTTTTTTTGAGTTTCACCCTTCGTGTTTCTTTGTGAAGTAAATTCAAACCAGGAACACTCTTTTTAAGGGGCATGCGTCCGGGGGTTTATATGCCTGGCCTGCCTCGCGTTCGGCTCCCGCTGCTTTCGTTGCTGCACGGTCTTCTTTCGTTTGGCATATGCGGCTTGGGCATCCACACTCTCGGGTCCTGCGTCAAGTTTTTGCCTCTTCTCGTCTTAGTTCGTTTAATCCCAGTGATCTGCCCAATACTTGTTCCTCTTGTCAATTAGGAAAGTCGTCTCGTTTTCCTTTATCGCATGTTGAATGTACTAGTTCGCATCCTTTAGAATTAATATATTCAGATATTTGGGGCCCTGCACCGATACTTTCTGCAAGCTAAGTCTGATTTATACTCGTTACGTGCGGTACTATCCTATGCAAGCTAAGTCTGATTTATATGCGATATTTGATAAGTTTCAGTCACTTATTGAACGTTCATTCTCTCGTAAAATTCTGTCCTTTCAGTCTGATTTAGGGGGAGAATACAAAAAGCTTGGTTCGACTCTCGCGTCATTGGGTATTCGTCACAGGCATTCCTGTGCGTATACTCATGAACAAAATGGCAGAGTAGAACGCAAGCATCGCCATGTTGTCAAAACAGGACTGGCGCTAATGGCCCAATCCTCTGTTCCGTCTCGTTTCTGAGATTATGCCTTCGAAACTGCTGTGTATCTTATCAATAAAATTCCCACTCGTGTCTTGTCTGATAAGTCTCCTCACTACCTCTTGCATCGGTATCCGCCCTCTTACTCATACTTACGGGTTTTTGGGTGTTTGTGTTTTCCTAATCTGCGGCCCTATAATCGCAACAAACTACAGTTTCAGTTGTCTCCTTGTGTCTTTCTAGGATATCCCCCGTCTTTTCGTGGCTATCGTTGTTTATACACTAACACTAACAAGTTTTTTATCTGTCGCCATTTGCGATTCAATGAGACTGTCTTTCCTTTTGTTGCTTCTGTTGATTCACAGGTACCCGCACCATGCCCGGAGCCATGGGGTGTTGCGCCAGTTGTCCTTCTGGTGAGCCAAGTGATGTCTCAGCCTTTGATCCTCCTGCCGTGCCCGAGCCACACCGCCAGTAGCCCGTTTCTGCCGAGCCGTCCGTGACCGAGTCTGAGCGGACCGTCACGGACCAGCCACCTGCTCGACCGAGGGGTCGACCCCGTGGTCGATCCCGTCCCGCGCCCTCGCCTATTCGGTCTCATACGATGAATACGAGGAGCTCGGACTGCATGACCATGTTGCTCTATCTACTAACGTCACTACTGAGGGGTCGACCCTGTGGTCGATCCCGTCCCGCGCCCTCGCCCGTTCGGTCTCATACGATGAATACGCGGAGCTCGGGGCCGCGGGACCATGTTGCTCTATCTACTAACGTCGCTACTGAGCCTACATGTTTTACTCAAGCGGTCAGATTTCCCGAATGACGGGATGCAATGGATTTGGAATTTAATGCCTTGGTGCACAACAATACATGACGGCTTGTTCCTTTTAAATCAGGTATGAATGTGGTTGGCTGTAAGTGGGTGTTTAGAACCAAGAGGAAAGCTGATAGTTCGATTGAGCGTTACAAGGCTCGTTTGGTTGCCAAGGGATTCAATCAGGTTGCTGGTGAGGATTTCTTTGAGACCTTTAGTCTCGTGGTTAAACCAACTACGGTACGTCTTCTTTTATCCTTAGCTATTTCTCGTGGATGGACTATTCGACAATTGGACATACACAATGCTTTCCTAAATGGCAATCTAGCTGAGACGGTTTATATGCGCCAGCCCCCTGGCTATGAAGACAAAACGATGCCCGGGCATGTTTGTCTCCTTCAACGTTCTTTATATAGGCTTAAGCAAGCTCCCCGTGCTTGGTTCACTCGTTTGCATGATTTTCTGGTTTCTGTTGGTTTCTCACCTTCCAAGACGGATGTCTCTTTATTTATATATTCACATGGCAATACTCGTCTATATTTTCTGGTTTATATGGATGATATTTTGGTTATGGGATTTGATCCGGCTCATGTGACTGCTCTTATTGACAAGTTGGCTCTTGAGTTTAAAGTTCGTGATATGGGTGCGCCCTCGTTTTTTCTGGGTAGTGAGACCGTTCCGTTGTCTGATGGCATGCTTCTGTCTCAACAACGGTACGTGAAGGATATTCTAAAACAAGCAGGTATGGTTGATTGCAAGTCCGTGGCTACTCCGGTTTCAACCACGAAGGCCGAGATTGATGACGTGGTACCATACGCTGATCCCACTCAGTATCGCAACTTTGCAGGTGCTCTGCAATATCTTACGGTAACTCGGCCTGATCTTTCCTATGCAGTCAATCGTTTGTGTCAGCACATGCACTCTCCCTCTACTGCGGATTGGGCGGCTCTCAAGAGGGTGTTACGGTATGTAAATGGGACACTACATCTTGGTCTTAAGATTACGTCTTCTCCTTCTCTGGATATTCATGCATATTCTGATTCGGATTGGGCTGGCAATCCTGATGATCACAAATCTACTAGTGGTTTTTCTATGTTTTTGGGGACCAATCTTGTCTCATGGGTTTGTCGAAAACAGCGTACTGTGGCTCGTTTATCAACTGAGGCTGAATACAAAGGACTGGCTGATGTCTCTGCAGAGGTTACTTGGCTCGTCTCTCTGATGAAGGAAATCGGGTTTGCGCCACCTTATGTGCCCAAACTCTGTTGTGACAATCTGGGAGCTACTTATCTGTGTGCTAATCCCGTGTTTCATGCTCGCACTAAGCACATTGAGATCGACTACCACTTTGTTCGTGATAAACTCGCGAAGAAGGAATTACACGTCAATTTTATTTCTACCAAAGATCAGATAGCGGATATTTTTACTAAGTCTCTTTCGTCTGTGCGTTTTAATTTACTCCGTTGCAAGCTCAATGTTTTGCCTGACCAACCTTGTGCTTGAGGGGGAGTATTAGGACTCTATTAGTAGTATTAGACTAGATCTCTATTATATTAGTAGTATTAGACTAGATCTCTATTTCTTGTCTTTATATACTTTGTATCCACTACTCTTGATCAATACACATAAAATATATTCTCATCTAAACAAGTCAATCCTTCCAGTTATTTTCTTAACCATTTACCCAAATTTGTGATTTTTGTCCAATTCCTGATATGGACATCTTCAATATACTTTATATTATTCTTTTTCTTCCCCTGAGTTCATCAACTTTATTGTTTTTTTTTTTTTTTTTCCTTTTTGGGTATAAAAATAGTTTTTGATCAAGAAAAAAGAAATCTGCAAAAATGAAATTTTGTTAGTTGGTAATAATATTTATTTGTTATTGATATTCTATTGATATTTTGATTACTCCAAAGTCCATAAATTTTCTTAGTTTATTGAATTTATGCGCAATGAGCAAAAATATATGTTCAATATTAATACTAATTGTTAAAATATTTTTTTTTAAATAGTAGTATATAATTTTTTAAATTTATAGTTGTAGAATTCATATTATATTAAACAAAATATAGTTGATAATTTGAGTAAGAATTATGGTATGATTAATATTATTAAAGAAAATCTTAGATATGATATATTGCTAAATATGATTATGTAAAATTTACTTTAGTGGCCTTTTTAGACTAATGTAAAATTGATATAGACTAAGTATAGAAATAGAAAGAAAGAACACAATAATATTGATTATATTCACTACAAGAAAAATGCACATAGACAACACTAGAAAGACAACAGTTTTTAAGAAAAGTGTTGTCTTTTGTATAAAAGACAATAGTTTGGTCCAAAACCATTGTCTTTGATACAACACTTTTGTCAAAGACAACGGTTTTTACTTAACCGTTGTTATAAGTGTGTTGTCTTTGTGCATTTTGTGAAAAGACTACACCACAACTACAGCGGTTTTAAAAAACCGTTGTCTATGTGCGTTTTTTTTTTTTTTTTTTAAATAAGACAACGGTTTTTTTAACTGTTGTCGTTGGTGTGTTGTCTTTAAGCGCATTGGAATACACAACACTAGAAAGACAACGGTTGTTTAAAACCGTTGTCTTTGTGCGCTCTTTTTTTGAAAAAAAAAAATAACAGTTTTATTTAACCGTTGTCGTTGGTGTGTTGTCGTTAAGTGCACTCGAATACACAACACTAAAACGACAACGGTTTTATATAACCGTTGTCATTGCGCGTTCTTTATTTGTGTAAGACAACGGTTTTATAAAACCGTTGTCTTTGGTATGTTGTCTTTAAGCGTATTTGAATACACAACACTACAAAGAAAACGGTTTTAAAAAACCGTTGTCTTTGCGCATCATTATTTAACAGGTATATAAAATAAAAACAAGGATGTTAACAACAAGAGTTAAACATATGACCTCACTTAACAAGTAAGCTATCTAACCAACTAAGCAACACAAACTCTTATGTTTAAAGGTGCAACATCTGGTATATAACTGGGTTGCTTCTGTGTTGTTTGTGAAAACCAAGACAACAATTTTAGAAAATAGTTAAAGAATAGAACCTGAAACCTCTACACCAATACTAATGTATTTAAGCGCAACATCTAGTATATCAGTTTGCTTATGTGTTGTCTTAAACAATGATTGTATAAAATATGTTAAGAATGCCACCACGAAGGATAAAACCCAAGACCTTTAACATAATAAACAAAGCTAAATCCACCAAACCACACAAACTCTTATGTACTAAAGTGTTACACCTTATCTTTTACCTATAATTTAACAAAGAAAGAATACAATTCAAAAGTTAATTTAATAGTTCTATTTTCGTTCATATTTAAGTATAAAATTATTCACCAAAATTTCAAAGTAAATTCATTAAAGTTTTATTTTCAATTATATTACAATTAAGACCAATCTATGAATTTAAAAAAATAATAATAATTATCAAGTATAAAAAACAATAGATTATATCTATAATATTTTTTAAAAAATTGGGGGCCCTGTGCGGTCGCGCCGGTCCGACATAGCCTAGAACGGCCCTGCGCGGTGCCATGTGATGTTCAGAATGGTGCGGTATGGTGTGTAGGGGTTAAGAGCGGTATGATAGGGGCCAGGGTTGGTAATCGACCATTCCGGCTAGCGCATGACTAACAAGGTTAGCTATATGTTGGTAATCGACCCTTCCGGCATGCATGGGACACGTGGAGAATGGATATGAAAGAGTAGTTGATCGATGTCGTACAGTTAGCTATAACCCATTTCTTTTGCCGCGATCTTAGATTTGTAATATAATTCGGCCGCGAGCTGTCTGGGTAATAAACCTCCGGGTAATAAAGGGCAAATTATGCTGTGCAACCATGTGCACCATGCATGGTGCACACTGTTCCATGTTCATAATTACCGAACTATATATTCATAATTTTTGAATTGAAATTCATATTCATAATGATTGAACTCTGATCTATATTCACAATTACAGAACTTTATGTTCATAATTTGCGACGTTCATATTTCCAATTGTTGATAACTATACAGTTTAGAAATTATGAATCAACAATACAGAAATTATGAATATGCAGTATAGAAATTATGAATCTACTGTATAGAAATTATGAATCTATACAACTGTATTTAAATTAGAAATATACTATATAGAAATTATGAATCTACATTATAGAAATTATGTATTTTAATTGGCCGGATCAAGCGACCCGGGTAATAAAACTAATATTTTTTTTACGAAACCAATTAATTATGTATTATTTAACATTTTATTCTATTCCGTGCAGTGGTCTAACATTTTATATAAGTTAAAATTTTAGTTTTGCGGTCTTCTTGGGCTAGTCAAAATTATAGAAAGAAAATGGAGACTCATTGGAGATGGCCGTGTCCAGTGGTTTCCATTGACGACCAAGTCAAGTGATAAAGTGTGGAATAAAAGTATTTATCTTCTTATTTTCTTACCCATTAATTACTCAAACTTGACATATTCAAAAGACTAGATTTCTACCTAATTCATGACTAGTAATAGTGCCAGTCCCTCATATATATATATATATATATATATATAGGGACGCACTCAGGTGCGAATAAGTGCCCAGGAAGGAAATGCGAACGAATCAGCGCGTGACACGTGTCTAGATCTAATAACTTAAAAAAAATGCGGTGGCATTTTCGTATATAATTGAACATCGAAGTGCAAGTAAAATCTCTTATAAGTGCACCTATTTTCACCTATAAGTGCATATAATTTTGCCTTGTTAGCATTCACTTTCCGCAACCATTCATGCACCTGGGTGTGCTTATAACTATATGTGCAACTATTTATAACAGTAGGTGCAACTACTTATAACTATATGTGCACCTACTTTCACCTATAAGTGCATGTAATTTTGTCTTGTTAACATTCATTGATCTGAGTTCAGCGGGTAGTAATACTCCTGAAAACCACTCGCAAACATTCATACACCTAGATGCAACTACTTATACCTATGTGTGCAACTACTTAGAACTATAGGTGCAACTGCTTAGAACTATGAGTGCAACTAAGTATTGATGCTCAGTGTAAATTTTTACTTGCACCTATAATACATTTTACATGCACTTGTAATATATTTTACTTGCATTTCGATGTTCAATTATTTACGAAAATGCCACCGCATTTTTAAAAAAAATCAGTGTTTCTCATCCATTAGATCTGGACACGTGGACGAACAGAATCCATTCCTATTTCGCGCCTGGACGAGCCGTTCGCACCCGAGTGCAACTCTATATATATATATATATATATATATATATATATATATATATATATATATATATATATATATATATATATATATATATATATACATTAGAACTAGAAATTAAACATAGTGATATGGCCACTTCTAAAATGCTCCCATTTGTTATTCATATTCTTGTTCTGTTTTCCCTTTCTTTTGAGACAGCGATATCAGAAAGTAGAGAGGGAAGAGCCCTTGTCAAGTGGAAGAACACCTTATCCAATACTCATGATGTTCTTCATTCATGGTCCATTGCTAATCTTGACAACGTTTGCTGGAATTGGATGGGTGTTACCTGCAGCAATGCTGGAGTTGTTTATGAGATAAAGTTGGAAAATTTGAACCTGTCAGGTACACTTGAAAGCCTTGATTTGATTTCATTTCCTAATCTCACCCACTTTAGCCTCTATAGAAACAACTTCACTGGATCAATTCCATATGCTATTGCTAACCTTTCGGAGCTAAGGTCTTTGGACCTCAGTTGGAACTATTTTCAAAATGTTATACCAACAGATATTGAAAGGTTAACAAAGCTTAGGTCCTTGTACCTTGGAGAAAACAATCTCATAGGTAATATCCCCTCCCAAATATTCTCCAATATGAGCAAGCTTCGATATTTCGACTGTGGCGGCAGTAATCTATTCCAAGGGCCATTTCCAGGAAATTTAGTGAAGCTATCCACGCTTAAAGAACTTTCATTAAATGAAAACCAATTCTCTGGTTCAATACCTCCTACAATTGGAAATCTAAGTTCACTAAGGATTCTGGATCTCAACGACAACATGTTGCAAGGAACTATTCCTCAAACACTATGCAATCTTCACTCTCTTGAATATCTCGTTTTATCTAAGAATTGTTTTGATGGTGTAGTTCCAAAATGCTTGGGAAATGTAACCTCATTGGTATCTCTTTCTCTTTCTTCTAATATCTTGCAAGGAAATATCCCTAAAACATTATGCAACCTTCACTCCCTTCAAACTCTCTACCTCGATAGTAATAGGTTGAGAGGTCTAATTCCACCATGCTTAGGCAATATAACATTACTAAGTTTTCTTTCTCTTGGTTACAACATCATGCAAGGGAATATTCCTCAAACACTATGCAAAATTCACTCCCTTGAAAGTCTCCTCTTAGATAGCAATAGTTTGGGAGGTTTGATTCCACCCTGTCTAGGAAATGTAACCTCACTAAGCTATCTTTCTCTCAGTTCTAACTTCCTACAAGGAAATATTCCCAAAGGACTATGCAATCTTCAACAGTCCCTTGAAGTGCTCATTTTATCCAACAATAGTTTGGATGGATCAGTTCCTCAATGCCTGGGAAAATTGAAATTGTTGACAACTCTAATTGTTTCTAAAAATCAACTTCAAGGCATGATAACTCCAACTCCAACACTTAGAAATGACACAAATCAAACAACAAATTCTAGTTTGATTTATGGGAGGGATACATGGTTTTGTGGTTTGAGTTCCTTGAAATTTCTTGATCTGTCAGACAACAATTTACATGGTTCACTACCTCAGTGTTTAGAAAACTTCAGCAGGGAACTTGTGGTTATTAATTTAGCCAGAAATCAACTTCAAGGATTTACTCCAGGAGTTTGCACAAACAGAAACAACTTGGAGTATTTCAATTTGAATGGCAATCAGTTGGGAGGGTCATTGCCTCGAGACTTGATAAATTGCAACAAGCTTAAATTTATTGATCTCGGAGACAACATGTTACATGATTCATTCCCTCATTGGTTAGATACTCTTCCTGATTTGCGGGTACTTGTGCTGAGATCTAACCAATTTTATGGTGAAATATGCACTTCTAACACTACACTTCCATTCCAAAAACTGCATATATTTGATATCTCAGACAATGAGTTCACTGGTCCTTTGCCAAGATATTATATGGAGAACTTTGAAGCCATGCAGCATACAAATGATGATGGGACACTATCAGCTTTTGAAGCTTCAATAAGCTTAGTTTGGAAAGGGGTAGAAGTTCAAGTGGTGCATTATGATATCTTCACACTCCTTGATTTATCTAACAACGACTTCCATGGTGAGGTTCCAAGATCTTTAGCAAAGCTTCGCTTCATTCGGTTTCTCAATCTTTCTCACAATCAGCTCACAGGCAATATTCCATCATCATTGGGAAATTTGACCCTCCTTGAGGTATTAGATCTGTCATGTAACCAACTAGTGGGTAACATTCCCATGCAGCTTTCAAGATCATTAACATTTCTAGCTGTATTCAATCTTTCTTATAATCATCTCTCTGGTCCTATACCGCATGGCTCACAATTTAACACATTTGGGAATGATTCCTATTTGGGAAACATGGCTCTTTGTGGACTACCCCTCACATTAAAATGCCAAGACAAGGGTGAAGGGAAAGCATCAAATGATAAGGATTCACAACATTTTGGAAGTGGACTTGGCTGGCAAAGTGTTATAATTGGATACTGTTTTGGCGCACCTGTTGGTATTTCCATAGGATATTTTTTATTCAAGCATGGAAATTTTGGATGGCTTAAAAGGTTAGTGCTTGGGACTAAAAGTGGGGATGCAATAATTAAGGAATAGTAAAATGAAGCAATTGGGTAACCTTGAAGCATGATATCATATATAGTTTCTCTTGTTATATGCTTGTTGTTTTTGTTGTTTTTGTTGTTTTATTTTACAGTTTTTGCTATTGCCCTTTTTGTTCAATTGTTTTGCAATTGTAGTGTTTGGTTTGTTTGGTTTGCATATGAATGTTTTAGCAGTTATTATACCATGAACCAGGGTCTACTTTTTGTGCATTCTCTGGCCGGGTTGGTTGGGACTGTTGGCGGTCGGGTGGGTTTGTATCATCATTTGCCTTTTTTCCTATGTTTCCTCTTCCCTTATAGAATTTCATGTTGTCTCTTCATTTTATTCACTTCCATTTGCATATACATGGAGTCAAATGGATTCTTTTGAGGTTACAAGAATTCAAGTCCCACAAAATTGACATTTTAGAGGAAATGATATTTCCCAATAGAGGAGTTACCAAGTTCTTATCTTCTGCCTCATATTCATGTTTATTGATTGAGTACTGGTGTCAAGCATATTGTCTGATTTAGATTATGAGCTCTCTTCAATGATAATTATATGTGCACTTAGATGTTTGATCAATTGTGTAATTGCTATTAAGAAACAAGGGTGTTCTGTTAGATATACAATAGTCTTACTATAATAAACCATATTATACGAGAAACCTGACCTCGTATGATAGCGGAAGCGTAGCCGTGTTGATCTCCCACCATTGTTCCTGTTGTGTTGCCTCTTAACGGTAGACCGTTAGCCATGTTTTGTCTCAGACCTGACTCAAAACCCTAGATGGTGTATTGGTATCTACTGAGCAGTCTGAGTACCGTAACTGAATGTGCTATCTAATCCATAATCCTGTATCCCATCAATCCAGGTTATATTTGGCACAGAGTTTGGTTGACTAACAACTACTAGTTATTAAGTCCAACCAGACCACTTAATAAGCCTAGTCAACTTGCACCACTTAATTAAGGCCCTAATATATAATATATAATATATATTATTAGGGAAAATCTTACATTCTCCGACTAGGTGCAAGTACTAGCACAACCTTCATCAAAGAACAAAACACACGAATCATAGTGATACGTCCTCTATTTAATCAGAGTAGTATCCATTATGGTCACATGCATTTTAATTCTCCAACTTAGGTCCTTAATGAACAAACCCTATGTTTATTCTCGGTACCTTAAGGGATGTTTCTCAAAATACATTATGTGCACGACTGAAGGAGAAAACGCATCCAAATTGTACAAAAGAGTACACTGTATGATCTCTAAAACTTTATAAGCATGCCTTAAGTAGAGATCTCTTAATGTTAGCATAATGCTAACTATATCCCATGACTTCTTTATAAGTTAACTTTAAGTACTATCTCTAACGGCTAAGAGCTTGGAGTTGACACGTCTGTCACTCCCACTCATCAAAAATAGCCAAAAGATAGTTAAGTCACAGAAGCATTCCAATAACTTAGACAATAAACCAAAGGTCTAAGTCCATAAATTTGGAATCTTAATCATACACCATAACTTCCCAAATAACTTCAATGTCCATTTTAAATGAACTGAACATAATGAGTCTTACTTTTATGTCCCACAAAATTGTTTTGAGCCTTACAAACCAAAATGGCTCAGGATCAATTTTGAAGAAAATAAAGACTCTATTAATCACTAAAGAATTTATTAAATGACAGTGTACCACAAGTTAAATGCTTTTGTTCTAATAAATTCCTTAATATTGTTGCAACATTTTCATAAATATGTTGCACAACCAAATGTTCAATAATTTGAACATATGAATTTATATGAACAAATACAAGATTAATACTTGTGGAATATCTTGGACTTATTGTTTGACATACAATCAAATTTAGGATGTATGAAGCCAATTAAATCCATAAACTTTAGTGGAGTATCTTAATGATCTTTTTCTAAACGATCGCTCCCACTGATTAAAATATTCTTCAGCGAAATTAATAAAATGAACTTAATAACATACATACTCATAATTGATTTATTGACCAACTAACAAATGAAGACATAATTCCCCACCATTAGTTGGACATACTAAATAATCAATTTTGTTTCCAATTAAAGTCCAACAAAATAATGAAGATATATTTCCCCACCATAGTTGGACATACTAAAAAAAACAAAATACATCTTTCAAAACCAAGTTAGAATTTGGCTCAAAAGATACATTTTATTATTAATGGAATCCAAAAGATGTATGTCAAATCACGTAACTTACTACAGTTAGTTCGAAGAACCGAGCAAGATTCGTGGATTAATTAATAAAAGTTGCTAAATTTTGGGAAGTGACTGAATACATGTTTTGCCAATGCAAACCATGAAACTTAGAATTATAATTTAACTGAATTTATAACTCTAAAAAATTGTGATAAAATTATCATCTAATGGGTGGTGGGATTTATTGACATAAAACTTGCCTTTGGGCTAAAGTTTTAATTCTATTAAATCCAATTAAGAAACCTTTATGATAATATTTTTCACAATTACTAAAGAGCCAGAAGAATCTAGAGACATAAAACTTGCCTGTGGGCTAAAGTTTTACTCAATTAGATCCAACTGAAAAATTTATTTATGATGAAACCATTATCAAATGAGTTGAAGAATCAAACGACATAAAACTTGCCTGTAGGCTAAAGTTTTAGTCAATAAGATTCATTGCTATCATTATGATAAAAAAACTTAAGAGATCATGTTCCTTTTCTTAATCCCTGTGTGCAAATTAAGAAATATGATATAAAGTTTACATCATAAAACTAAACTTCATGATAGAGTTGGAAATTATTTACAAATAATCATAATGTAAATAAATTGATTTATTTCTATCGTCACTGATAAAACTACTAAACTACATTTCGATACATAATTGCCTGTGGGCTAAATTATGACCGTAGTCCAGTATTTCATCCTGATTAATTATACAAATATAACGAAATTGCCTGTGGGCAAAATTCCATCATATTACATACAATTAATCACAAAAAATATGTCTAAAACTCTATGTGATCAAAATAAACCGCTTAATATATAATTTTAACAGATTAAGGATGTTGTGGCTACTCCCAAACCAAATTAAAATTATAAGATCACTAGACAATTATCAAATTCTTGCCTAAACTTTATGTGATTAAAACTTAATAATCTTAGGTAGCTGAATATGCTGTAGCATTTCCTTAATTAACCAAGATTGAAAACTCAAGATATTTCAGTAAATTAAAGATGCTTTGGCTATTCTTTAATAAACCGAAATAAAATCACATTGGCAATGAATACTTAAAAATTTGACAAACAGATTATACCAAATTGTGATGGGAAAAACTGAATATACTCCAAGGAAAGGTGGTTAGAGACTAAGTCTCACTGAAAACCAATTCCTTAAATAGAGTATCAATTTAAGGAGACTAGTGGCACAAGATGTTCTTAAGTCATGGCCATTAAAAATAGTATGTCTCCCCAATTAATATATACTTAATGTATAACTGTTTGGGGGTATGAACCTAAAACTGTAGGGTATACACCAAAAACTGTATGGTTCACCTATGATTAAAGCTTAAATGGTGAACTAAATTAGCGGACTAAACGTGCTTAAATTCAGGCACTACCGCAACTAAAGTTTATGCGTAAGTCCAACTTAAATAAGAACTAATATAATTCCATCTCAAAGTATGCATTGCTAAAGGCATAATAAAATTGCATAATTTAAAACATAATATTATGCTTAGGACAAATATGCATAAAATTAAACATTAAACTCATATACTCCAAAGAAATTGCATAACTTAAAGCAATTTACAATATGAGATTTCAAAGTATAAATTTAATATTCAAACACCAATGAGTCCAAACCAAAAGAGACCCAACATTTTGAATAATAATGTACTGGATATATACTTTAAAATTTTTTAAACTGTATACCCATGGTAAAATGTTTTAATGCATAAAGATCAAATTCATGAGAAATAACTGAATTTACAAATTCAAACAATATCAAACCAAAAGGATATGCTAGCATTTGTAAATCAAAATCTCACAAACCCTAATTGCATAATTAAACTTAATATTATGCACTTAATGTGATCGAATGCATAAAACAATCTAGAAAGTATGAACCAACTAAAGAATATGAATTTACACCAAATATTCATTTATTCATACTTAACCAAATATGGGCAATCATAATTCAAAGAACTAAATGAATTATGGAATTAATGACAAAAGTCAATTGCCTAGAAAATATGTTTTTCCAAAATTACTAAATTGATTCAAAATCATTCTCCATAATCTAGTTGATAATATTATTATTATTAATGGCAAAATTGCAAATAATCAAAATAGCAATAAATAGCCATAATAATATTATCACATTAAGTAGGAGACTAAATATGGAAAAACAATGGTCAAAATCGCTAACATTAATAAACGTTTTCGGATAAAATTTTGAAAACTTAATAAAATTTGAAGTCTGAAAAATATTAATGTCTAGAAAATTGTTTTCTGAACTGGAGTATTGTCACATAAATTTATTTGGAAACAGTTCAAGGTACATATCTAAATACCATAATAATATTAATGTCATCATTAATTAATTAATTATTAATAGCAATAAGTAACATTATAATCACTATTAACACTAATAATAACGACAAACTAAAGTATGGTAATGCACTTTTTAATGTTTCCATTTTTCTAAAAAATAAAATATGTGACTAGTCCCAAATAGCGGTTAAGTGTAACTATAGCACTAATTATCAATAATAACCATAAAAGATAATTAATGGCTAACCTTAATGATGCAAACCGCATCTCTCCATTGCGCTAACAACGATGACGATCCACAAGAGAAGAAAAGACTCCAGAATTCTCCCATCTTCACTGTCGGTGTCAGTAGCCTCGATGCAGCGTCCAATGGTACATTTAAAAAATTTATTGGTAGGACT